GTGATGACTTGGTTCCATGTCTTCTCGTCCCTCCTAGCTCGTGGCTTTCACGGGTAGGTTAGGGCGCTTGCAGCCGGGCGGATTGAGCGTTGGGCGGCTGAGAAAGATGACGCCCACCGGCCCGGAAAAGTCAATGGAGGTTGGATCACGATAATGCAGGAGTCAGTGCCAGCGTCCGTCCCAGGACCGTGAGTGTTGAATAATCTACAGTGGGGAGGTCACTCGTTAAGCGAGGGCAGGGGCCAGGGGTATGCACTAGCCAATCGATTAAAACGCGTGTGGGCGGATTCGAATTGGTGCCGCGATTGATGTTGAAAAAGAAATGCAGGCTAGGCCTTATTTGGTAGGGGCTGAACATGGGGTGCTCTTGGCGCTACCTTGAAAATGGCGATTTTTTTCGCCTCCTATCTCCGTACTATGGTAACTCCCTCCCAGAGATAACACCTACCTAACCGGCTACCACCCACACAACGCGAGGGAGCCAGAGAGCGACCATGAACGGGCACGTTGGAACATTTCGGTTTTTAGCCGAAGCCCGCAAGTCCCGACTCCGCGGTGAGCCCGCCTGGAAAGCCGCCTTTTCCAGTATGGACCTCGCCTCGGCGACGTCCAATCGTCCTATTTCGAGCGTGGGCGGCAGGCTAGGCCTTTGAGCGGCAGGGGTTGGTTTGTTCCCGCAAGCTCACGGTTGGGTATTGGCTGGCCCCAGCGCGGTCCACCAGCTGCGCCGAGCTCCACATCGCAATGAAGATTCTGGTCTCGTCCCATTGACGGATGCTGGGTGCCTGCTGGGTGCCTGCTGCCTCGACTAGGGGCGTGGTCCAATCCGTTCCCGGGAGGAGGGAGGTAATCGAGCCCAGCTGTTTATGCCACATACCTAGTACTGAGGTCCTGCGGCGCTACCCTTTTCCATGGCTGTCGGGACCATATCATGCTATACCATGCCATCCCATTACCCAAGGCACCAGCATTAGTTGGCAAAGGCGCGCAGAGCGATAGAGGCATGTGCTGCAGGCACTATGCACAGTGCAGGACAACAAACGTGCGATGGCACGTCTGGAGCCAATCGAACATGTGTCTCCTGAGCCCTGCAAATGCGATCCGATTCCGCAGCAGAGGGCAGGCAGTGCGCAGCGTAGGAAGCACCCGGCGGGCGCCGACCGACGGGTGGCCGGTTGGCCGGTCGGTCCAACGTGGAAACTTACTCCGGAATATTGCACGGCCTCCCCAGAAGTGGTCCAGCCAGAAATCTGGGCAAACGGTAGGACCTGCCAGATTCGAGAAATCAACTTCAATGACCAACAAGGATCCAAGGGTCCTGGCCTGTCTGCAACCCCCTGCTTGATAAGTGCTGCAACGCTCTGGACCGCCTCGGGGGGATTTGTGCATATCAATTCAAAGCCCGCCGGTGGGTTGTGTGTTTGCAAAGAAGAAGAAAATGAGTGTGTGTGAGTGCGTGGGTGAGAGAAAGTGTGTGTGTGGATGGATGGATGATGTTATTGACCGACTGGCTTTTTGCGCTGAATGCTACCTACTGTCCAGGGGCCTTGTTGATGTAACTTCCACTGCAATTCGGGGAAATTGCTGCGAACAACGAGAGAGAAAAAAAAACTGCCCTGGCCACTCTGGAGCTGCACAACACAGACGCAGCGGCAGCTCTCGACGGAATCTTAGCTCTCGCGAGAGAAATGCTACCCTTTAAGCATGGGTACCTAGAGAATGGGACGTTGAGTGGGACAACGACGGCAGTAAGAAGTCCGTGCCATCACGGCCTCCGCCATGGGAGCACTATTTTGTTGTGCTGTTCATTTTTTGTGCCGTGGTCTGATGCATGTCGTGGCTTTCTCTGAATCGTAGACGCTGTGGCGCTCAAGGTGATTGACGAATGTTTGTTTTTCTGTTGCAGCAGGAGGCATACTAGGTGGGTGGCACGGTGGGTGGTGTGCCCGCCAGCCTCCTTGCGTCTTTGGAACACCTGGAACACCTGCCACCTGTAGCTACCTTGGATAGATGCTGCAACGCCGAGACAAGTCAGTAATAATAATAGGTGTCGAGACCAACTCATCGACACCCTCTTCATTATCTGTCGGATACCGACCCCAAAGCCACAACAAACATGACATGTGCCCTCGCAGCTGTTAGGCACGCCAGCCTTTCCATCCCTTGCCTCAATGGCTCCCCTCCATTTTATGCCCAGATTCGGAGGCCATAATGCACCACCCTCCTCAGCCCCGAAGTGATGACCTGCTTCTCCATCGCAAAAGGAAGTGATGCCAAGGTCTTGCCAGCAGGGAGGAATGAAGCTTTGACTGGACTATTTTTGTTTGTGTGTGTGTGTGTGTGTGTGTGTGTGTGTTGCCTGCTGTAGATAGGGGTGGATACCTCGCACTCTCGATGAATTCCACGGGCCCAATCAAACATTACCGTGGTGGCAGCCGGCAAAGCCAAGAACGATGCGACCACACCTGCAGCCACAAAATGCTCACTCGACTCAAGATTCTGTTTCCTCCGGGTTGGGAGGGTTTTTGTTTTATTGGTTTTGTCGTTTTGAACTCGTGGTGGGCGCCTTGTGCAAAAGTCCTGATCCCTCGGCGTATCCTCGATGATGGGAAACATTGGGGACAAAGTCAAGGCGAGCAACCCGTAAAGCGTATGGCTGTCGTCGTTGCGTGCGATAATGAGCCGTGCTTCCTGTTTGTTCCAGCGATGTAAGCGGCCGACGATGGGTTCTCCACCACACCTTTGCCATGCCCTTACCACCACCACCACCACCACCACAACCACCACCACCATCATCATCATCTCCCCCTAATGACCCAAACCGGCATGCTCCACCACTAAGTGCCTACCACATACCTGCCAAGGTAGGTATTTACCTATGTAGGTGATGGAACCATTCCAGTACGCAACGGCTGCTCGATGATATCACCAGGCCCGTTTTCGCTCTGGATTTACCTCATCTTGCTCGGCTGGGCTGGTCTAAGAAATGAGAGGTAAGCAAAGTGTGTGTGTGTGTGTGGGTGGGGGGACGATCCAACCTCTAGATAGGTGCGGCTCGCCCGTTTCGGAAGAGGTGGGTGGCTTCCCCCAACCTAACCCGGCACCCCGACCTCAAGCTTCGTCTGTCAGTGTCTCAGCCCGTAGGCTCCCTTCCGAGCCGCCAACTTCTTTTATTTTCTTTTCTTTTTGACCCTGCTCTTTTTATTTATTTCTTTTTTTCCACCATGTCGCGCTTTGGTTCTTTTCGACCTATGCCCGATGGGGCTTTTTTATTCTCTCCGAAATCCGGCCGGTAGCTTGGCCCCGTCAGCTTGTTGGTCGGTCTTCTAATTTGCTTGTTTCGCATTCCCATCGTGTTTCCGTTTTGCACCGCGCCTCCCGCCATATCCTCCAAATGCCATGCCGCGCCCATCTGCTACTTTCCATGTTAGCAAACGTGGGAGGCTAGACGCGGGAGGCCACCCCACTATGCCAAATACGTAAGCCTATGCGCACAGTATGGCAGATCTGGCTGCCGTATCTGCCATGCCAGCGGGCAGCCCATGACATTACGTCGCTCGCTGCGCGCTCCTTGGACGGGCTAGCGTCCTGTTTCGGCGCTCGCTTGCGCCCCTACATCCAGGACCCGCCCGGCCACGAGCTCGAGCCTGTTGGCGCCGCCCTGGACCCCCATCCTCCAACAAACCCTAGCCTATGCGGGGGATATCTCTCACGGCCACATCAAGGGGGGATCGGTCGGACCCTTTATCTGAGCGCACCGTCTGCTATCTAAAATATACGAGCCGGAAGTCTTCCCCCTTTTACTCTCTTAAGGTTCCCCGCGCGGGTGCCGAGTCATGGATGTATGTGCCGTCGAGCACCACTGTCATGTCCCCGACCACCCGTTCGGCCGACATGCTCCCCGTAGGGTGCCATTAATATACGGGCGGCCACCTCCTGGTGGATATTCCCATGTGCGGGCTCAGACATGCTCTGAAAGAACTCCCCTGCCATCAACCACCCCGACAAGGGCTTTCCGCGGACCGTTCACTGGGCAGATACTTTGACAAGCTTCCGTGGCCGCCCGCGATTCATAGCTGCTAAAAAAACTCTATCCGTGACGCTATGTCAGCCTGACAGCGCAACCGAGACGTTGCCTTGCTCCCTTCACTTCACTTCTGAGTAGTATTCTACCGTCTTTCTCCCCGGCCCTCCTCGGCATTGCCTCCGCCCTCGCCGCTCTCCTCCCCTGCCGCGTGTCTCGGTCTGTCTGTGGAAGGGGGTGACATCCTCGCAAGATGTGGGTAATTTGGAAATCCTTTGTGTGCGTTGTGCGCGGGTCTGCCAAGAGATCAAATTGTGTTATCGAGGGTTGGTGCATGGACGGTAGCTCGCTGCAACAGATAGATACCCAGATGCTGCCGTGTCAAATAAATGCCTCTCGGCGGGCCCCATCTGGGTGGGGACGAGGGAGGGACAGCGGGCAGAGAGTCCAGAACGTTTGCATGCCCAGCCGGAGTACCAGGAAATACCAAGAGCCGACCTACATGATGGCCAGCGCGCCCGGCACGATGCTGGGTGTGCCCCGGGATGCCTTCCCCGTACCTCCTCCCCGCTATACCATGCTGGCACATATAGGCGCGCGGGCCACACACACGCAGCGCGGTATCGAGCGTGCCACCCACGTACGCATTGTACGGCTTTCTGGGGCGGGCGGTGGATCCGGGCGTTGGTCCGCGACCGACCGAAGGGAGAGAGAGGGCAGCACGGCCACCCGGAGGCGGCGGGATCATCTCTTGGCGAGAGGGAGGGCGCGCTGCTGCCCACGGCATCACCTACCCACGACAAAACAGCCCCAGCAACCTGCCGCCAGCGCCGCGCCGTGCGAGTGCGTCTGAAAGGGGCGATTCCAACCGCCCGCTTGCCCCCTCCCCAGTGGGCGGAACTGAGAACCGGCATGCACGAAGATCTTGCTCGCGCCGAGGAGAGTAACGGCAGGCCCAAAAATGGCAGGCCTAGAAATGGCAGGCCCAAAAATGGCAGACCTGTGCCGCAGTCGGGCGTGCGAGGGGAGGGGGAGCACGCTACTACCTAGATGACGTGTGCGCCCCCCCC